GGGAGATAAACGTGCAAGCCTCTAACCGTGTAACCGCCGGTTACATTTGCTCTTAAGCGTGCTGGACGCTAACCGTTTCTGGCGCTAAGCGTGCAACTGCGGACAAATTTTTATGCGCTAATCGTGCATACGCCTTAATTAATTAGTTTTTTAAACTATCGACTCGAATTTATGTTGATACTATCATTCAGTATAAAAGTATAAACATTTCAGCAATAATAATTAATTGGTAGATGGTAAGAGAATTTTAAACAGTTTTTTTCGTTTTTCTCAAAATGAACTCTCGTGCACTTACACGGTTAGAGTCGGACATTGACGAAAAGCCATTAGAAATCTCCCACAACTACACACTGATACCAATAAGCATACCATTCGTTCAAAAAGAAGTCTTATTCACAAATAAATGCATACCTGTCAAAGCGATGAATTGTTATAAATGCATGTGTATGCCCAACCGTGAGTGAGTGAGTGAGTGAGAGAGAGAGAGAGAGAGAGAGAGAGAGAGAGAGAGAGAGAGAGAGAGAGAGAGAGAGAACGTTTTTATTGAATGTTTCTAGAGGTAGAACATGACTATAGCGGCACCCGCTATTGTGGGACCATCGGTAGACTTTACCGGAATCCCCCTTTTTTTTCCTGTGCAAACTCAATTCCTTATGCTTGGATATATATAGCGGGACAAGGAAAGTCCCGAACTCGGATACAGTGGGAGAGATCGAACGAGCTTAAAGGCAGGGTCTGTTGGCAGGCTCCAAACAGTCAGCGGTGCGGCGCTGTGATTGGCAAGTCCAGTGATGAGCGAGGTGGGTCAGATGGCAGAGAGAGATGGTGCGGAGAGACGCGTTACGTGAGCCACTCCCAAATTTAAAGTGATGTGCCATACCCTAGACGCTCAGTACCGTATAAGAGCGTATAGGCCATCACACTAGGCCTAGGCTAGACCAAAAAGTAAAAGAACAGGAGAGTGTGCAGAGTGTGATTCCTGATTCATTGAATTGCGATCGTTGATGTTCAGGCATACGAATGCATCCACTTGACCAGTTCTACTGTAGTGTAGGCCTACCGGTACGATAGACAAATCGAGGGAAAGATGGCTTCCAACAAAGACTAAAGGAAATGTTTCTCACTCGAATTAAAGGCCGAGATAATCAACCAAGTTGAAAAGAAAAGAAAGACTAATCTAAAGCGCAAATTTTATTGATATGGCAGGGAGGTAATCATGTAGACTTTTATAAATTTTTTGGCAATTCCCCTTTACATTCCTATAACGGGAACTTGCCTACAGCGGGATTTTTGAATTTTCTTCAGGAACCAAAAGTCCCGCTATAGCCGTATTCTACTGTATTCAAGTTTCAATTTTATAGTGACTGTTTGTGAGTTTTTATTGCATTCTATATTTTTTAGCGAACGCATTGCCAGGCTCACTGCTTGACTATTTTTCACATAGAAATGTTTATACATACAAATAATATGCATATACTAGTTTTACGTACACACATGTCCATTAATTTTAAAGGTGTGATATTTTTATTAATGTAATGCACATTTACCATTTTTTAGAAAATGGAAATGAGCAGCAGAAATGCTATTTATTATTATTATTATTACAATTGTTACATTGTTCTCATTACCTCAAATATGACAGAGTAGTCACCATTTCTCAGCTCCTCCACAAATGGAATAGGTCGGCCTTTAGGGACTGGTATAGTAGCCACAACTGTGATATCAGGTTTAGACAGTACCTTTCGTACAGCCTGAAACAAATAATTAAAAATAATATTATTTTACAAGCTAACTTTGCTTTAAAAAAGGCAAACAATTAAAAAATATACATGTTCACATTATACAGTCTTCACAAAAAGTTAAGGACCAGTCAAGAAAATAGGTAATATTTTCGAAAAAATCATTTTTTAAAAAAGTAATCAGATTCTTCTTGCAAAACTTGGTAGCAAGGCTAGGGGGTTAATAGTGAATACGGTATCCACTGTGTGGGTGGCCTGAGCGCGTCATGCAGTATGCTTGGTGTGTGTGAAAATCTGCAACTTCGGCAAAACTGGACAAAGTTACAAACGTCAGTGAGCGATACCTGGGGTTTTCTGCATGGCAAAAACGAGATGCACATGGAAGAATGCACCTCTGGCTACGAACTGTGCTCACTTGTCTGCCTACATAAGCCACCGTTTCAGCTCCGTTTTACAGTATTCCCGCGCCAAGCCATAAGCCACCATGACAAAGATTGAACGACTTCGACTGGACTCGGTCAATTGCCTGGCGGCAGGATGGAGTTGGCGAATGCGAAGTGGCACGCAGACTTCAGGTATCACACTCCACCATCATACGGCTCAGGTAGCGGTTCGCAGAGACAGGAAGAGTCCAGGAGCGGTGTCGCACGGGTCGTCCCAAGAAAACAACAGCAAGAGAGGACCGCTACATCCAACGCCAAGCCATACTGCAGCGGACTAGCTCTGCCAGCGCCATCAGGCGACGTCTGCGAGCTGCAACCTACACCACAGTCAGTTCACAGACAATACGTAATCGCCTTCATGACATCAACCTCCGTGCACGTCATCCAGACAGAAAACCTAAGCTGACCCAGAACCAGCGAGCCAACCGTCAAATCTGGTGCACGGCGCATCAGGGGTGTCACGTGCCAAGAGGTCCTGTTCACTGGTGAATCTCGGTTCTGTCTGACACCCAGTGATGGCTGAACCCGCATCTCGAGGCGTCAAAGGGAGCAGCTTGCTGCCAATGCAGTTCGAGAATTGGTCCCGTTTGGAGGCGGCTCCATTATTGTTTCCGGGGGGGGGAAGATCTGCAGGCATCACAGAACCATCCTTTACCATGTCGACGGTATCCTGACAGGGCAGCCGTATCTGCAGGAGATCCTTCAACCTGTGGTCATCCCAGCGCTGCAGCAGATTGGGCCTGCTGCTGTCCTTCAGGACAAAAACGCTACACCACACAGGTCCAGGGCTGTCAACGCCTTCGTTTAGCAGGCGGGGATTGCCACATGGCCAGCCAACAGTCCAGACCTCCATCCCAGTGAACAGTTGTGGGCTGAGCTCGGTCGGAGACATTCAGCGAGCCCGTCGTTTCCAGAAACCACACGAGTCGCCTGTGAATCATTTTTTCAATCAGTTTGCAGAGACAGCTCGTTAGGGCTATAGGTCTGTAATTGGATGGATGTGTGTGATCTTTGTTTGGTTTGGGTATTGGAATGACAGTAGCGAGACGCCAAGACTCCGGAAAGGAGTGCGACCGCCACATGTCGTTGTATATATGTAGTAGGAGTGTGAGTGTTTCTGAGGGTAAGTGTGTAATGATCTTGTTGTGGATGTCATCCGGTCCCGTGGCTGTATCGCCCAGGTCCGAGATGCACGAAGATAGTTCGTCTATTGTGAAGTCTGCGTTGTAGGTTTCAGTGTTGTTTGAGTGGAAGTTTAGGTGTTGTTTTTCTCTGTTAGTTTTGATGTTTTGAAAAGTGGTGTTGTAGTTTGCTTGGGATGAGTTTTTGGCAAGAGATGTAGCTATTGTGTGTGCGATGTCTACTTGTGTTTCAGCTGTGGTTCCATCCGGCCTCTGGACGTGCCGAATGGTGTCTGTGCGTCTACCTAAGAATTTTTTAGCAATTTTGAAAACTTGGTTGAGTGGTGTCTGGCTGTTGATTTTGGAGATATATTTTTGGAATGATTGTCTTTTGCTCTCCCTGAGGCATCTACGTGCCACAGCTCGAGCCTTTAAATAATTGATTTTGTTTTCTATGGTGGTGTTGTTGACGGCTTTTCGATACGCTGCCTTCTTTTTCTTTACTGCGTCCTCACATTCCCAAGAGAACCAGATCTTGTTCTTCTGGGGTTTTGTTTTTGTTTTTGGTATGTGATTGTTGCATATTTCTAAAAGCTTTTCGTGGAATTTATTGTAGTTGTGGTCAAATGGGAACATTGATTGGCAAACCCGTCCCAGTCTGCTTTTTTGAAGTTTAAGCGTTCTGGGATCAGGTCGTTTTGGAGGCTATTGTTTTTGAGGAGAATTGGGAAGTGGTCCGTACGGTCATCCAGCACAGACCACTCAAGATCTGGGACTAGGTCAGGGGTACAAAAAGTGATGTCAAGGGATGAAGTGCCATAAGTGGCTCTGTTTCTGTAAGTTGGGGATTTATCATTTAAGACACAGATGTTATTTTGAAATAAAAATTTTTCTATTATTTTACCAGGGGGCTGTGGGCATAGAAATCACCTAGTAAAATAAAGGGTTTTGGGAGCTGAGACTTTAAGTCATTTAGTTGGGTTATTTTGAGGGGGTAATTTGGTGGGATGTAAACTGAGCAGATCATGATTGGTCTGTGCAGGGTGACCCGTAGGGCAATAGCCTGGAGGGTCATCTTAAGATGTATTTGTCCGTGGAGTGTGTGGTTGTCGGTGTAGATGGTGGTACCACCGGAAGCAATCTGGTTCTCCGTGTGAATGTGATGGTACGCAGTAAATCCTCTTAAGTCTATGGTTGAAGCCGGGGCGAATTTTGTTTCTGAATACAGGCCACCCGTGGGCACAGTGTGGCCTGTAAATGTTGCAATTCTGCAATGGAAGGTCGGATTCCGCCGGCATTCCATTGCAGGACCGCCATTATGAATTTTTACTTTTTGATTTGGAGCACAAAGGCCCCGGCTTCGAAGAAACACTCTGACTCCTCCTTGCGGGGGAGTCAGAGTGTTTTCTAGGTTGCCGTCCTGGATTGGACGGCGGTCTAGTGGGGGGTTTGGAGGAGTGACAGACTCCGCCCTTCCCGGGGTCAGGCCGGGGAGGGGCGTCGGAGATGTCTTCCTCCATTGGTTGGTGGTGGGGTAGGGGGGTGTCTAGTATAGTATAGGGTTTTACGGCGCTCGCAACTGCTAAGGTCATATGAGCGCGCGAAACACAAGTTGTTCACCTTTGCAAAAGTTCACTTCACGACTGGTTAACTAATTTACTTTAAAATGCTAAAAATTTAAAATATTTAAATTCAGTGTAAATACATTTGTGATTTAAAACAACTCTTTTAAGTAACAACAAAAATTTTTAATAATATCAAATTCACTCTACAACTCGCCATAAAGGCCAATGGCCTTTATAAAATTTAAAATTCTGCTGGGAACAACGACGGAAAAAATATCCTGTAATTTCTTGCATTTATAATATTTCCTTCAGATCTCTCCAAAGTCTAGACATTCTGTTAAAATGTGTCTAATGGTAAAATCTGTGTCGCATCCGACACAGAGCGGCTTCTCATCTCCCTGTAGGAGGTATTTGTGGGTCAGGGCCGTGTGTCCGATGCGCAATCGAGTAAAAATGACTTCGTCTCTTCTGGAGAGATCCGAAGGATTTCGCTGTTTTAGTTTGGGTTTTATTTCATATAGTTTATTATTTTTCTGGTTTTCCCAGTGGCTCTCCCACAGACTGGAGGTGTACTTTTTGACTTTATTTCTAAAGTCAGTCTGTGGGAGAGTGTTTGTCATTGATCCCAGCAGAAGGGATGAAGCTTTCTTCGCCAGGTCGTCTACCTGCTCGTTTCCTCGGATGCCCACATGGCTGGGTATCCATGCGAACATGATGTTTTTTCCTGTTTCGGATAGTTTATGGATTTTCTGTTGTAGCCTAACTATTTTTGGGTGTAAGAGTGTGTAGTTTGTGAGTGAGGTGATGCAAGACAGAGAGTCAGAAAGGATAAGGAAAGATTTGTTAGGAGAATTTTCTACAGAGTCCAGTGGTGCACCTCACGCTCCATCAGAGGGATGAGGCGTGAGGTGGAAGAAGAAGAAGAAGAAGGAGAAGAAGAAGAAGGAGAAGAAGAGGAAGTGATAGAGGAGGGGGGAGGGGGAGGAGAGAGAGCGGAAGGAAAATCCACCCTGTCATCCCCTAGAACCTCAAAGCGGTTTGTCAGAGGTGTCTCGGTGGAAGGAAGAACCTTTTTTGTTTTAGTCACAGAGACATGCCTGTTGACCGTGGGCTTTGGGAGGTCAGCAGTAGAAGGACTTGCGGACCTCGTGGCTTCCCGTGCTACCTTGGCGTATGACCGGCCAGGGATCGGGGTCACAACTGGCAGGCAGGTAGCTTTGCGGGCCTCCTGAAACGAGCAGCCATTTCGTACTTTATACTCTTGGATTGCGCGTTCTTGAATCCAAGTCGGGCAATCCTTACTAAAGGCTGTGTGCTGGCCGTGGCAATTGGGGCAACAAGGACTAGCCTTGCATTCCTTCTCAGGATGCCTGGTCTTGCCACAACGAGGACACACGGCTGCGTGTCGGCATCTTGACTGACTATGTCCGAACTTCTGACACTTGAAACAGCGCAGAGGGTTCGGTACATAGGGTCGCACGTCTAAGACCAAGTAAGATGCCCGAACGGTGGCTGGATGGCGACACGAATCAAAGGTCAGGATGACCGTGTTGGTTTCGAGGGTGGTCTCCCCCCGTCGGAGAGTAATCCGGCGGGCGTCAATCACACCTTCGCGGTTCGCCACAATTTCCTCCATGCTGCAGCCCTTTAGTTCATGGCTGCGGACGACGCCCTTCGAGCAGTTCAACTTCTGGTATCGTTCGGAAGTACATGGAATACTGCCGAAGGTCGTGATGTTCAGAAGTTTGGCCACTTCAGTCTCTGTTGCGCACTTGACGAGGAGTACACCAGAGGACAGCTTCTGGACATTCGTAGGAATGTATCCCAGAACGTGTCTTAGTGCATCTCCCGTCTTGAACAGATTCAGATCAGTGATCTTCTTCTGTGTGTCTTCTTTGCAGCTGATGGCCACGTACGGCTGCTTTGGAAGCTCCCTGGGAGAAGGGAGAAAAGAAGCAGACGTAAAGGTCCTTTTCCAGTTTTGGAGTTTTTGCTCGGCTCGGCGGCAGCACCCGCTTCCGCGAGCCGAGACTTTTTGGTAACGTTGGGAGCTGGGGAAGGGTCTTTTTTTTATTTGGAATCCATGAGAGTTTTCTATTTTATTCCACTCCGGGGTTCCCCGCCCGCCACGGAGCCCAACAAGGGGACACATTGCTCGGATTACCAGAGCTGTGCCAGGGCTACCCCGGAGCTTTACTCTCAACGAGAAAGTACAAGACCCTCCCGTCAAGATTGACCCAGGGCTTGATGGGGTTTCAGCTCTCAACCGATTGAGTGGCATGGGCCGTGCCACCCTCCCGTCTAAGAGGAAAACCTGAGCCAAAGAGGTGTGTTGGCGAGGGACAGTCCGTGGACTGATCTCACCTCAACCGCCAGGTACCCGGTTTCCCTCCGCACGGGTCGCACCTCACGGTCAACAAGGCGCCCACTCTGTGGGATGGGTGACCTCTCTTTTTGCTGCACATGAGGTCAGCGGTGGTAGGAAAGATAGAAGAAGAAAGAAAGAAGGAAGGAGAAAAGGAGGATACACCAAAGTAAGTGTCGCACACGAATCCCAGAGGGTTGGGGTCCGTGTGCGACACTCTGCCTTTGAGGGGGTTGCACCTTCTGCAGACGAAGCAGTGTTGAAGCCGGGGCGAATTTTGTTTCTTGAATACAGGCCCCCTTGCGGGGGAGGCAGAGTGTTTTCTAGGTTGCCGTCCTGGATTGGACGGCGGTCTAGTGGGGGATTTGGAGGAGTGACAGACTCCGCCCTTCCCGGGGTCAGGCCGGGGTGGGGGGTCGGAGCTGTCTTCCTCCATAGGCAGGGGTTTGTCTGCTGGAGGGGTAGGGGGAGGTGGAGCAGACCGAGGGGGCTGGGAAGGGGGGGGGGAGGGGGCTGGGGGGAGGGGAGAAGGCCCACCTCACACTCCATCAGAGGGATGGGCTGTGAGGTGGAAGAAGAAGGAGAAGAAGAAGAAATGATAGAAGAGGGGTGAGGAGGAGAAGAGGGGGCGGAGGAAGAGTCCTCCCCTTCCTCCCCTAGAACCCCATAGCTGTTAGAGAGTGGCACCTCAAAGGGGGTTGATACAGGGATAGTAGCGGGCTTTTTGTACTTAGGCACAGAGACTTGCCTGTTGACCGCGGGCTTTGAGAGGTCGGCAGTAGAATTACTTGCCGACCTCGTGACCATCTGGGCTGCCTTTTAATACAACCGGCCAATGACTGGGGTTGTGATTGACGGGCAGACAACCTTACGGGCCTCCTGGAAGGAGCTGCCATTTCGCGCCTTGTATTCCTGGATGGCGCGTTCTTGGAGCCAAGACCGGCACTCCTTGCTGAAAGCTGTGTGCTGGCCGTGGCAATTTGGGCAACAAGGACTAGCCTTGCATTCCTTCTCAGGATGCCCGGTCTTGCCACAATGAGGACAGACGGCTGCGTGACGGCACCGTGACTGGCTATGGCCGAACTTCTGACACTTGAAACAGCGCAGAGGGTTCGGCACATAGGGTCGTACGTCGAGTACCAAGTAAGATGCCCGAACGGTGGCTGGAGGGCGACACGATTCAAAAGTGAGGACGATCGTGTTTGTTTCAATAGTAGTCTCCCCCCGCCGCAGAGTAATCCGGCGGGCTTCGACCACTCCCTCACAGTGCTCCACAATTTCTTCCATGGAGCAGCCTTTCAGCTCATGGCTGCGGATGACGCCTTTCGAGCGGTTGAATTTCTGGTAGCACTCGGACCTACATGGAATACCGCCGAAGGTCGTGGTATCCAGGAGTTTGGTCACTTCGTCTTCAATTGCGCACTTGACGAGGAGTACACCAGAGGACAGCTTCTGGACATTCGTAGGAATGTATCCCAGAACATGTCGTAGTGCATCTCCCGTCTTGAACAGATTCAGATCAGTGATCTTCTTCTGTGCGTCTTCTTTGCTGCAGATGGATGAATTTCATATGTATATATCTTAAATACGAAGACTATACATGTATCAGAGAAAAAAAATTGGGATCTACCTGAAAACCTGTTCATTATGTGGGCATTTCGCTATATGCTTGCTCACTACTTGCATGCTTCTCTGTTGTTTTATATTTTACATTTAGACAATTGTTGGAGTGATGTTTTAAAAAAAAAATAGAGATAACATTAATAAAGATCTATAAAAAATACAACTGCGTAAAAAATCAATCTCCACTACTGTTCGTTCCTTTTAAGGAAGGCTACAGGTAATATCTCTTTTTATCCAACATCTACTTTAATATTAACATACCTGTATAAAGTTCTGACTGAAGAGTTCCATTCTCCCAATTTCATCCACAAAATAGATTGTTGATGATCTTCCTTTATCTTTTCCCTACATGAAAGGTAGAGAAAAAGGCAACAAGGTGAATACAAGAAAAGCATATTATATCATTCAAGCTTTCCGTTCATCTTTTTTTTTTTGAAGTATGTAATTTTAGTAATGTTGTTGACCACATAGATAAAAAGAAAAGAGGGGAAAGACCACCCAGATGAAAAAGCAAGATATGAAGAAGGCATTCATGCTCTCAAAGAAAGCTGAGAAAGCTTTTATCTTGTGGTATTGTCAGGGACATGGATCCAGAATGACAATTATAGCATCCTTCACAACGACTACAAAGAACAGGAAAATTAACCTAAATGTCATCCAATGCTACACCCCCACAAGAGATAAGGAGGATGAAACCAAGGCTAAGTTCAACAGCCAACTACAGATGATATTAGAGGAATATTCAGCCAAAGATATCCATATGGGTGACCTACAAGCAAAGAAAGGAAACGATAAAACATGTTCTGAAGAGGATGTCACAGAGTAGGAAAAAGGAATGACCAATGGAGAAAAGCAAGTAACTGCATAGTCACAGTTTACTGCAGTAAGAGTTTACGGCACTCGCAATTGCATAAGGTATATAATTTTTTTAATATATATATATATATATATATATATATATATATATATGAGCATGTGAAACAAAACTTGGTTGCATTTACAACAGTTCACAGCATAGTTTGACTTCTGATGGTCAAGCTAAAGGGTTTTTAATTATACTGTAAAAATTTAAAGTCTTAAGAGCAACAATACATTTCATTAAAATAACAATATTTACATTTTTGGGTAAAGTCCAATGGCCTTTATAAAATCTAGAATTCTGTTGGGATCAATGACGAAGAAGAGATCTTTCAAATGTTTCCTTCAGGTCTCTCCATAGTTTGGACATTCTGTTAGTATAATATGTCTTATAATGAAATGTGTTTCGCATCTAACACAGAAGGGTTTCTCATCTCCCTGTAGTGTAGGAAGTACCTATGGGTCAGGTAGGTATGTTTTAGTTCAGTTTTGTAAAAGTTTTACACAGCAACTGTTTTAGGTCACATGAAATGAGTGTGTGAAACACAAGTTGAATGCATTCACAACAGCTTACAGCAAGGCTTGGTTTTGGTCAATGATCAAATTAAATGGTAAAAAATTTATCTGTAAAACTTTTAATCTTAATAAATAACATTTAACAGCACACTAAAATAACAGTAATTACAGTAGAGCACACCTCTATAAAGAACGCCCTTGTACTTGTAAAGAACTGACAGAAATAAAGAACGCATTTCTTTGCCCCGTTTTTTTTTTGTCGTAGTGTCATTTATATTTTGACGCATTTAGCCAACATACGATAACCAACTGACGGCTGTAACAAACCAATTTTCTTGCCAAACAAGTCTTTTTTCTTCTTATTTACGACTGAAGTAAAGAACCAGACCATCTCTATGAGTTGACCGAAATAAAAGTTGCCATCTGCTACGTGGGTCTGCATACACAGTGACTACACACCACCCATACAGCCGATGGTGACACAATGGATTCACATCATTTTTCTTTTTTCAGCCAAGCCCCTAGCCTCGCCTGAGGCCTGGGGAGGGGAGGCGCGAAGCCTGCTTTTGGCTTTAACGATTCTCTGTGGCTGGTGGGTGTGGAGTTTCATGAGCAGATAACTGTGACAGTGAGCTCCGCGGAAGCAAAACAAAGTGTGAAGAAATTGAGAACTTGAGAAACTATTTCGTAGTCAATGGGGGGGGGCGGTGGAGCAGTTTTTTTATGTTCTTGGGGACATGCAAAAGTTTGTCAGGGAGGTTGGAGAAAGGGAGAAGCAGCAAGCATCCATACGATTCTTATTACTATTACTGAAAAGGACTATGTGAGAAAAAGTATGTGTGTGTCTTGACTAAAATAAAGAAATACCAATATAAAGAACATTTTGCCATTTTGTTCCTGATCTTCTTCAATGATGTAACAAACGTGCTGAAATCTGAAAAGACTCTCTACGCTGATGATGTTGCTCTCTCGCAGACACATCACAGCATGGTAGTAGGAGCAGGAAAATTAAATGAAGACCTCAAGAGGCTCCATAATTACAGTCAGAAATGAAAGCTTAAAAAACTGCACGAAAAGAATACACACCATAAAACAGCCAAAGAAAAACTCCAACTGAAGATAGGAAGAATGTAGGAAATGAAAATCTCCCCAAAGAGGAACAGCCAACATACCTAGGGGTCAATTTGACCAAAGTCTGACCATGAGAAGCAAGTGGAGAACATAAAGAACAAGGCGAAAAGAAGACTTCAACTTTTAAAGAAACTCACAAGCAGTTCATGGGGATCAGACAAACAAACTGTGAGAGCTCTATACCTTGGTTATGACCGATCTCCCTGGAATAGAGCAATAGCCTACTCACTATGTTGTAGTGCAACTACAGTGGGTGTCGCATTCAACAAGGTCACATTCAATGAGAAGTCGGCTCCAACAAGGTAATCCATAATCCCCGATTTTTTCCTCTACTATATCTCTTTGTAAATGTACGTCAGCTCCAACGAGGTTGCAAACAGACCGAAGTCGCTTTCAACGAGGTCGCGATAACCAAATAAAAGCTATTTAGCAGCCCCAAAAGTGAAGAATTTTTCTCCTTCTTTCTCTCCATCTCACGTGAAGTACAAGACCCATCCTCGATTCCTAACACATTGTATTGCTAGATCTAGTGCGCCTCGTAATATGGGCCCCAAAGCCATAGGTTGGGCGAGGATTAGCCTACGGTAGGAACGGGAGGGGGTGGGTGGGAACGCAATGTGGGCTGAGTGAAACTGGAAGAACTCTGGATGGGTAGGTCTAGATCGAGATCTTCATTTTTTTTTCAATTTTCTTTTCTTCCCCTGATCAGACAATCCAAGCTCCTGCCTTTACTTTATATAGATATCTAGGCCTAGATGTGAGAGGGTATGTTTCCGCACGAGAAGTGTTCCGGGAAAAAAATATTTTAAAAAGCAGAAATGATGGTCAGAACACAGCTCAATCACGCGCAAACTGATGCCGTTTGAGATTTGAGTCATCAGTGGTAACAACTGTTTTAATTACTGGTATTGGTACATCGTGTAATATAATAACTTTCTCCTTTCTTTTCTTTAGTCTTAATCACATTCAACGAGACGTCGGATCCAAAGAGGACAACAACCCAGTCCCGGCAACATTGTTGAATGCAACACCCATTGTACTTGCAACACCCTTGACAAGGTCCAAAATAATGCCCTTCATTTCATAAACAGTGGCATGAGATCTACACCTACTGCCGCATGTAAAATTCTTTCAAATGTTGAACCCCTGGGAATTCGCAGAGATAAAGCAGTTTTGGAGCTCCATGAAAGAACCAAAAGAATGTGCCCCAACCACCCAAACAGGAAATTAGTAGAAACATGGAAACCAAAGAAACAACTTTAACAAAAATCAATCATGCATTGCATCACAGAACTAATGGAGAGTCACCATTTACCACAAAACAGAAGAGAAACCAAAAGAGTCAACCAAAACATCCCTCCCCACATTTCTATGGAAAAACCAATCATTGCAACATCTCTCTCAGAGACAATAGCACAAAAGCTTCCGACCCAGTGACGTTGACGCTTGCATCACATCAATCAATCAACAGCTATTCAGATGACTGGATACCCGTCTATTCAGAGGGCTCAGCATTCCAAAGCTGGATTCGGAATACTAATACAGTACCCAGATGGAAGTTCCAATGAGATCTCTGCAGCCTGTGGAGAGAAATGCAACAACTACGATGCAGAAATAGAAATGATAACAATTGAAACAGCACTATACCATCTCCGTACAGTTTTTGACACTCATCCAAACAAAACGCAGAGTATAGTGATTTTCACTGACTCACTATCAGTCTTGCAAGCAATAGAAAATGATCATCATCTAAACGAAGACTTGACACATATATACTGTTTGGCTCCCATCACCAGATAACATCCTGTGTCATCAACCTGGAAATGCAGTGGATTCCCGACACTCAAACATACCTGGAAATGACAGAGCAGACACACTCGCCAAAAGGGGATCTAGACAGGGATAACCCAACATTCTAACTTCATAGAACACTGCAAAATAAATCCTTAAAAGCAACAGCAAACAAGATTGGATGAACAGATGGGCCTTGGGAAAGCAGTTTTCAAACATATGACTACAACAAAACGAAATGACAATATCAACCACCTACAGAGAAAGAAACAGACCACAACCTTCGGCGTACAAACAGAACATAGACAGCTCAACTTTCACTTGAACAGAAAAAAAAAACAGAACTTCCCCCAATATGTCCTTTGTGTGACTAATACTAATATGAGACTGTAAAACATCACCTTTTCCACTGTACAGCCTTAAATGACAGAGCTACACTTTTCCCTCTGGAACCTAACATTGACAACACACTCTACGGAACATTACAGCGACTGCAACAAACCTGCACTTAATTTCACTACATGGCATCGGACAGAAGGGTGATGTTTTGTTTTAGTAAGAGTTTTACCGCGCTCGCAACTGCATAAGGTCATAAGAGCATGCGCGAATAAAAGGTGGTTCTGTTCGCAACAGTACACTGCACAGCCCGATTCTGGTCAACACCTCTACTAAAATGCTAAAATAAATACTAGAAATTTGATGTAAATATACTAATTTAAAGCACTTTTCTAAATTTATAGCATTAAAAATTTTTCACAATTCCATTCACAATTTCCCATAAAGGCCAATGGCCTTTATAAAACCCAGAATTGTGTTGGGATCAACGACGGAAAACAGATCTTGCAATTTTTTGCATCTCAAATATTTTCTTCGGGACTCTCCGAAGTCTAGACATTCTGTTAACCTGTTTCTTATGGTAAAATCTGTGTCGCATCCAACACAAAACGGCTTCTCATCTCTCTGAAGGAGGTACGTGTCAGGGACGTGTGTCCATTGCAAAATAGAGTAAACATGACTTCGTCTCTTCTTGAGGGGCCCGAAGGATTTCG